AAATAAAGCACTCAAAGTATTTTTCAAATTAAGAAATCAGCTATTTTCAGCGCCCACTAAAATTGCCATTTTATTATTTAAATCACTCCTACTTCCAATCCTTAGCTATGGGTGCTAAATTTGGGCCCCTTACTTACTATGTAATCTGACCATTGGAATTTTTAAAAAATATATGCGAAAAGACCCCTTCTGAACTCGTCCACCTTAAAACCTGTAAAACCATATTAGAGATTAGCAAAAACTGTACTAATCACGTGGTGAGCTAGGCAGCTTCCCCATTCTAATCCAATTACTGTCACTATCCATCAAATGTTGGGGCCACCTGTACAAAATCATACACAATGGTCAGACTACTTTAGTCACTGATGCTCTGATTGAGAACAGATCCTTATCCTCATCCGGTGTGTTTACACGGTCCTCTGGTATAAAAACTGTTCTTAACATGAACAACCTGGGAAAGATGTGGACTAATCCAGTCTCAATATCTGGTAAGATAACTCAGGCCTTATCCAAAAAGTCTACACTCTGTATATCAGGACCAGTGGGCTACATTGATGAGCAGAACGGGTAGTGGTAATAAACTAAGAACCTATGTTAAATTTAAGAAGGAATTTGTGCGTGAAAATTACACCCACATATCCCGAAAAATATCAGAGCCAATTTCTGCAAATTACGTGTGAGCGCCCACAATCTCTCTATTGAACGGGGCAGGTACTGCAAGCCAAAAATCCCTGCAGAGTTAGGATTTTGTAAATTTTGTGATGCGAATAAAGTAGAAGATGAGTTCCACCTCCTACTAGAGTGCAAAGCATATGATTCAATATAGGATCCCTTCAGAGGGCAGCTGTCAGAGTTCCTACCCCTAGCGACCTCAGCAATAATGAACTGTTTAATTTTCTTATGGGTGCTCAAGACGTAGATATTCTTAGAACTGTTATGTGGTTTGTAAATAGATGCTTCCAACAAAGGGAACAGGCCCTCTCTTAATACCTATACATTGAACTCTTTCCTGTGTGTGTATTCAATTCATCACCTATAGGTTATCATTATATATATATATATATATATATATATATATATATATATATATATATATATATATATATATATATATATTATAAACTAATTTACTGGTATTGTTATACACGTAAACATTAAAATCATGTATATTTATTCATTTACTTGTTTGTACTGTTATAGTTAGATGTACTGTCTTATTTGTGAAGGTGTATCAATAAAGAAGTAGCCTATTAGACATTTTCTTTCATGCTTACTTTACTTGCTGTGATTGACATGGACACTGTGACTTTATGGGTGACACCATATTTTCGCTACTGTTTGCTACCGCTATGATGTCAACATTATCATATTATTGTCACAATTTGCCACCGCTGTGATGAATGTCAAAAAGTGACCAATACGTAGAAGCACCATAAGTTTTTGAAGCATAAAATGAGGGAAAATTTATTGAAAAATTAATATTTGAACACAACAATGAAGCATAAGCAACTGAAGGAACAAAATTGAAATTATTACAAATTTTAATAAGTATTATTTTGTTTAATCTCAAGAAAGCTACCTAGAAGTTTTCATTTGCATATCAAACGTGAAAATTTTACAGCAAAAATAAGTGTATTTAATTAAAATGTTTTTCAACTAATTAACACCAGCAAGATATACAATGCACAAAGGGAATTTAAATGACACAACTGTACATACAAATATTAAGATTATAAATAATAAGATCAATTTTGAAATCTGCCAGTATGGCGAGAAATGATGGACACATAAAAAAACACCAAGATGTGTTATCAATCGTGTAATCAGAATCACTACAGCAAGTAAATAAATGATCATAATCTCTGCTACAAAAACATCAACAAGAAGAACACACCGAACATTGAGGACAGTTTGCATATCTAAATTCAGCTTAGAATTGAATTTTGTATAAAGTAACCATTAAAGGAATAATAACCCTTCGTTTTGGCCAAAAAATGAATTTCCCTGGAATAAACAACAATTTCCCCATACTTACCAATGGTTAATGAATCCATTTTANCTTAGAATTGAATTTTGTATAAAGTAACCATTAAAGGGATAATAACCCTTCGTTTTGGCCAAAAAATGAATTTCCCTGGAATAAACAACAATTATCCCATACTAACCAATGGTTAATGAATCCATTTTAACATTCAAATTTAGTCCCTGTTTTTTTTTTTTTTTTTTTTTTTTTTTTTTTTTTTTTTTTTAAGTTAAAATCTCTTAAGAGATTGTAACAGAGTATAGCCATCAATGGAGGTCACGTGGTATCAGAATAATAGCTATAACTGCCGTTTTTGTGGTACAACAGAATATATTATATTTCTGTGAGTTATTCACAATTTTTAATTGTGAAATATAGATCTCATACAAAGAATTATTATCCCTTTAATCAGGAAAAAAAGTTTTCTTATTCAGCTAAAGCAAAACTAAGTTCACAACTACAATGTGCATAAACCAATGATTTAAACAACTTTTTCAATCACTGCATAATGTTTTTCTTTCTCTTTATCTCTACCAAAAAAATTTACCCAACAGAAACAAAATTAATCACTCTTTGTGTAGAACCCAATTACATCTTTTAGACTAAATTTACAAGTGCTCATTAAATCTTGGACCCCACCACTATCCAAATATCCTAATACAATAAACGATACCTTAAACAGATACAAGTACAATGTACAGGACATTTACACCACCTGTCAGACCCTAAATTATAGAGTTTCTAACTCGCGTTTTTGGATATTAAAATGTCCTAATTTCTGCAGTACATAAAGCCATGACACATACAAATGATAACATCACAGTGGAATAAATAATTCATTGAAATCATTGTTATATTATTATTACAACTGAAACTGCCTTGGATACAGTAGCAAATTATAGTCTTAAATGTTTTAAAACCCCATAAGCAAATTAACAACAATGAATATGTACACTGTAGGCCTATGTCACACGTGGTATATCATCACCAAATGCGCTTAAAAACATCAACCCAACACTTTAGTTTGCAATTTAGTGGTCAATAACAAAGGATAATTTGGAATTGAATTTGACTGTCCCCGGCGGATCGATGTTTGCGAGCAGAGTGAGCGTAATTTCCTTAATTAAAATAGGGATAAGTCGCCATTTTAATTGACCAGGAGAGTAAATACAAAATAAACTGTACATGTTTTTTTTAATATGCTAACACCGCTGTCCATATCGATCTAATAAATGTGTAGAGAGACTAAATCAACCATCAACTATGATTTTTTAAAGTATGCTCACACTTATCTCCAAGTGGATCTGATGTCTGTGTAGTTTACCAAAACAAACGCAATTTGTCACAAGTTGTGCCTTACTCCAGGCTGGTCGTATTGCTTTGTAATATTGCTTCTACCTGTTGGCTTAGTATCGTTGTAAACGAAATCAAATATAGTTAATAAAAGTAAACCCACAGTTTTGTTAGCTCTGTCTGTTAGCTCTGTCAAGACATTCCCAGCAGACAAACGTCATTGATTCACCGTTGAACCAACGTTAATTTTGGTGGATCAAAGTTGAATCAACGTAGAATCAATGTCGTTTGCCTGCTGGGATTGGTATATTATACCTGCTTTGCTCTCTCTACACGCTTGGTTGATAAATCTAGAGATAATGTACGTGAGAGAACAAATTAACTCGTCTCCTCTTAATTCCAGCGTGTTTCTAAAATCACCACCTTTTTTCTATTCTACTAAATGCCAGGATGAGACGTGTCAATATGTTAATCTGATTGCATTCAGCAAGAATCCCTCGGAGTTGTATCTATATTTTACTATAGATACGTGTAGAATTATACATGTAGTTTCAGTGGGAATGAGGGAATTAAGTCTAACACGGAACTTTTGATTTGCTGTTCCACTATTTCTGGCGAATCAAAGGTAGCATGTTGAGCAAGCAGTTTATTTGTCCCTCCTACTCCTTTATTTGTTTGGAATCGGTTTTTAATTATGTAAACTGATTTATGAGTTTTCGTTTGCGTTGTTTTCTTTTATTCCTGTTTTGGTCTGAAGCAATACTGTCGGCTAAGTCTTTACGACGAGCCCTTTCCAACGCTTCCTTCAGCTTGTCCCGGCGCTCCTCATTGCTGCTAGTCCCCATTCCTTCTCTCCACTGAAATAGCATATTGCGAATCTGACCAAGTGCGTCACTGGGGAAATTGAGCTTGAAATGATCTATCTGAGGTCTCTCCACTCCAAGATAGGCAGCTACTTCCTCCCACTCGAATCCAATTCTTCTTGATAGATCGCATACCAAGTCATCAGATGGATAGACTGCTAAGATATGAAAATGAAACAGTAGAATTCTTAAGAATCAATCAACAATAACTAATATCATGTGCACATCAGACCCAATTCGATTAAAATACCTTAAACTGTGAGTGTTGTGATAACATTCCAAGGAGATTTAGGGATTTCATATACGAAGCAATATGTGTGTGTGTGTGTGTGTGTGTGTGTGTGTGTGTGTGTGTTGCTTTTCATTTGCAGAATCTATTCCAGTTACTAACAGTTTCTAATTAAGTTTGTTTATGCATAAGAGTTCGGTTATAGAAATTCAAGTTAATTCTTGAATATATATCCTAATAACTGAGCTGCCCAAACTATTATGTCATTCCTGTAAATGTATATGTTTTCATATGATTGCAGCAATCTAGTTAAGCTACACATGTCCTGATAGACATGCGTGGAATGCAAGTGGTTTATTACTGTTAAAACATTGAGTCGATCGTCACTGCAAAATTAGTCGATATAGGCGTACATGTCTACTTGAAGAATTAAAATAATGACACAGCAATGCCCATTAAAATTTTAAATCACTTACCGATTCTGGTGGAAGGAAATACTTTATTTTCATTGTTCCTGAGCCACTTCCTATACGGGGCGGTTTCAATAACCACAGGGCAGCCAGGTGGACACGCGTCGTCACTCTCCAACATTTCAGTCTTTAGAGTTTCAGTCAATTTCTTCAAGCCTTTTGGAAAACCAAACCCAATGCTGTACTTCAGGCAAGGGGAGTAGGCGCTGATAAGGCGGTCTAGCTCTTGCTTGATATAGGTTAGAACTTGGAATGCAGTGTCGCTCTCCAAATCGTTGAAACCTGTTTTCAATGAGCCAACCATGAGCTGGAAGATGCCTTCTCCTTTGTTCGATAACTCCAATATTGTGTGAGTTGACCTGTCCACCTTGAAACATGCATAGTCGCAGTATGGATTTTGGTCGTGAGATGACCACTTCCTGTAGCAGCAGACCACCAGGCGATGAAAGAGACCAGGGGGGCAGAATCCACCGTCAAACATCAGGTATAATGGAGGGATTTTCTGCAACTTTGAATAACCCTCTTGTGGACAAACGGGTATCTTCAAATAGCTTTCTGGATTTGGGTGACTTTTCAGCACACAAGGGACTAAATACTTCTTCCTTTGTTGATCATCACGTCCCATCGGTAGTTCAACCAGCAGGTCAAACCGTTGACAAATACGCAGAAGGTTTTCTTTGTTGTCTGTCAGTTCTTTGTCTTTCTTCCACACACTGTCAATCAGCCGTTCATCCAGTACTCCTTTATCATCCAGCATCTTCCAATAACCCCTGTCGTCTGGATTGGAACCCTTGTGGTACTTCTCAACAGTTATAAGAGAAGCAAATGCATCAATAAGCCATTGGGGATCCAAGATCACGAGATCACGAATATCAGATTCATCGAAGAAAATGAGTTCCCCAAGTTCAGTGCAGAATTTCAAAAAGGGCAATATCATCTTTAAGCTCTCCAGACCATAATGGTGTCCTTCTTCAATAACACCTTTAAGGTCCAGGCACTTTTTGGATTCACTGATCTCCTTTAGCTTCCTCTCTAACAGAACAAACCTCAACGGCTGCTCTTCACCCCAGTATGGCTGCGCCTTAGATGTTTCCCATATTGCCTCCTTTAACTTCTTTATCTCGGCGTCCTGCTGGTCACAGTTGTTCACAGCGTAGAAGTACGGCTGCACGTGCATGTCGTGTGCAGGTCTGCCCTCCAGGAAGTCTTGAATTTTACTAAACTTTACCTTTGCCATTTTCATCCTTTCCTGGACAAGAGATTTAAACATCCATGAATATCAATAACATCACTTACATATAACGTCACTTATCTATTGATCTATAAGTAATATAAATAGAGCATTTTCCGTAGATTTTAGACTTGTTATTGAACTGCTAAAAAATACTCATATCAAAATTAACGGAGCATGTTAAAATCTGTTTATCAAATTTTTGTAGATCCAGCACTCAATTTGTATACTAGAGATATGTTTAAATAATATAAAAACTTACAAAATTTAAAAAATTGACCTTCCAATTTGTGTATTTTGATAAAGATATCATTAGTTGAACATGTTTTCTGAAGAATATGCTCCGTTCAAGCCATTCTGACGGTCTAACGCAAACTCTTTAAGGATATATTGTAACCCTTTATTATCACGTATATACAGAAAATGAGTTTTTTCCTGCGTTCAGTTATTGAATAATGCATCTATCTTTGTGCAGATATTTTGGTTTAAATGATTTTTTTTTTTTTTTTTTTTTTTTTTTTGCTCTTGAGTTATGAATTACAGATTTTCATTAAACAATAGCATTATCTAGCTTTATCAATGACAAAATCTTAGACCCCATTTCCATAGATTTTAGATCGATCTATCCCTGTGGGGAGTCTCACTAGATTACTGTCAGCTTAGCCGGCTTAAGCGTCTGTCCCGCCTACTAAAAGCTGTAAAGTGGTAATTAACTATGGTGCGCGCTCGTCTGACTGCAATTTAGCGTGAACCCCCAGGGAGTTAGGTCGATCTAAATTTTAATCCCTGGATCGATCTAAATCTCTGGAAATACACCCTTAACTAATATTTCTAGAATATCGCTGGTAGGGTTTTTAAGTACTGAATGGTGTCATAAAATAAGCCTTAGAAAAGTGATCGTTCATTAGCAGGGAAAGGAAAAATTTGAGAAACCATTTTTTTCAGTTTTTACCCCAAATCCTAATTTTGACGTAGTAAATGTGCAGTAGCTCAGTATTGTGTTAGAGAATATCAGTGTTGTGAGTGTTGTGATCTCGGGAGAATACTGGAGACTTGAAAATAAAGTATGGTGCTGGGAAATCAGACTTGGTGTCTTGTTGGTTTGAATCTAAGAACATCTTAAAGAACATCACATTGGCGACAAGGAATTATGGAGGAGGAAGAACCCCAAGCAGTAAACTTGACGCATATACCAACTTTTCCACCTTTCATCATCAGACAGGAACCGAACACCGTCTTTAAAAGATGGGGAAAATGGAAGGAAAGATTTGAAAACCTCATGGTTGCATTGAACATCAAAAACTCGCAACAGAAGAGAGCCATGCTTTTACATTTAGCTGGTGAGGAATTTTTAGACATTTTTGAGAATCTGCCAGACAGAGGGGACTCATATGAAGATGCGGTAGCTTCTTTTGGACAGTACGTAAGACCTCATCATAATCCTGAGTTTGAAATTTTCAAATTTCGAAGCTGTAAGCAAGAACCTAGTGAAACAATTGATTCATACCATATCAAACTAAGANACTTGAAAATAAAGTATGGTGCTGGGAAATCAGACTTGGTGTCTTGTTGGTTTGAATCTAAGAACATCTTAAAGAACATCACAATGCTTATACCTGTAAGTTAAGCACCACTTACTTATCTCTTAATTTTCTCAGTAACCAAACTCTCTGACGAGAACCACACATAAACGTTCATTAGATGCCCCTGTTACCGTTCACAGCATACAGAGAGAGTGAAGTCAATAACAACAGATTCATAATATTTTTGGTTTCGGTTTCCATATTAGGGCACGCATAGCCTTGTTTACACGGTCAAGTACCAACTGTCTATATATATATATATATATATATATATGTGTGTGTGTCACACCGGGGCGTTTGTTGACCTTGAAAAATACCAAAACACACTGAAAGCCCCTTTGTTTGATACGCTTAAGGAAGACGGGAACCTACTTTGAATTCATACATGACAAAGTTTGGAATATAATTTCTTTGACCTACAACAACAAGACTGACGAAACTTAACAAAAATCACATTTACGTTTCCATAACGTAAAGCTGAAAAACAAACTGGTATCTCAGCATCCCATATTTAATGGCTCTTTCAGTGTCATTTTTGGTTGACAATTAAAAAAATAAATTAAATACACAGCAATGTTTGGAAACATAAAGTTATTTGTTGTAAGAAGACAAATCTATCCCCTTTCACATGAAAGCACCCATATTGTAATCCAACGCATAGGAATATTTTGTCAGACTTTCAAAGATGATCACCCACTGCTGTTTCCCATTATCGTGGACGTGAAGATATAGTTTTCAGAACTTGCATTCTTGGCGAGTGCCTCATGGCTGGCTTTTGCCAAATGTTGCAGATGCCATAAATATTTCAATCAATTATCCAATGGCCGACTTGGAAGACTTGTGCCACGACCAAGATTGCACCTTTGTTGTAGACGAGAGCCACGTGCTTGGCGTAATAGTGGAGCAAGGTGAACGTTTAGTTTCCCATCTTGGTCTCGAAGAAAGCGTTCTTGTCATAAAACCACGTCCTTATATAAATACTAATACCTGTGACAATGGCGTCATTGCAAGTACCTGTGACGTCACTGAATGTTTCAACCACGCCACAACGTTAGGCATATTTAGCGATGCCATGCAAGTCTCAGGCGTAATGACAGTGAAAAAGGCAATGCAGTTGACAACTAAACAGAGAAAGAACTTGCGAAACTTGTATAAATTATTTCGACAACAGCTTAAAAATTATAGTTTCCTAGTTAGGACCGACATCGACCACCCCATTGTGTATGTCGTTGTCGGTTATTCTGCTAGGGCGGTAGAAATATGTCACTATCTGTGCTCTAAAAGTCGGTTCCCTTGGGTTTTCTTTATGCGGCGACACCGAAAAATAAATCCATGGTGAGCTTTGTGATCAAATAATATTTGACTCCAGAGAACCTTGCATTCACCGTTGAAACAATGAGGGATCTCAGAGACGGCCTGAAGTCGGCAACTTGGATAGACAGCGTCCAATACTAGCGAGGGACAAAAATAAAAAAAGTTTCACCAAAATTGTAAGTTTAATGTTTTACTTATATTTTATTCTCAGTCGACATGCTGCATCGTCACTAGGTTTATATATGGAGTTAATAGTTGTTTTTTAGATATATGCTTTTTTTTCTTTTATTTTTGTAGTAGTAGTATAGATTGGGCTATGGGCACATGTTGTATAATTTCAAATGCAGTGTGGTAACTTGCACTGTCATATTTCATGCACACTATTGTTCTTCCTTACACCTCACTTACTCTTCTTCCTCCTCCTCCTCCTCCTCCTATTGACACACTATTGACACACTCCATTGTAAGTCGAAGTTGCCCAAAAATACAAAAGAAATGCTGTCTTCATTGTTGACACACTCTATTGTAAGTCGAATTTGCCCAATAAAACAAAAGAAATGCTGTTTTCATTGTTGACACACTCTATTGTAAGCTTTAAGGTACTCAGAAATCCAAAAATCGAGTAAGCCAAAGTTGCCCACCCCTACTCGTGGTGATTAAATATAGTCAGCTTATATTGAGGTTTCTTGCATATTGTATATAACGGTGAGTTTAAGACGTAAACGCCCCGCATTTTTTAAAGAAATTTAAAAAAAATTACATTAACTTAAATTAACCTTCCTACAATTTTAAATGCATTTTGCAATAACATTTTCATGAGTGCACATGAAGTGTTTTCTTTAATGTAGTTGGGTGGGGTCGGGGATTCCCATAATGTGTCATTTGGGGTAAATACAAAGGAATCCCCTCACAATATCAATAAAATAAACGTCTTTCTTAGCAAAGTCCGATGAAAATACATTTAATAAATGCAATGGATAGCAATATAGCATATAAACCCATGACTCATGTTCGTTACCCGGTACGTCGAGTCACAATATCACGAGATCAGCTGGTTATATTGACTTACTGTCAGAAAAATCCCCTCAGCTGCATATAGTATCACTCTACTGTCTTGTTGCCACTGATAAGTACTGATTAAATTGAAATACTGTCAGAAGCCCCCCTCTGTTGTGTTAGGCGACTTTGAATTGTAGAGGTAGGCAAACACGCGATCGCCTATTTTATTCTGAAGCTAACATTATAACCTCTCCATCAACTACTGAACTGAATAATGAAACATACACGTGTGAAGATCGGAAGGGCCCCTGAGGTAGCGAAGCCCTTGTAATAATAACACAAGCAGCATTAAGATCTGATCCAAATATTAACAGATTTTTAAATAAAATGTGACAGTCCACTGTCATCATATTGCAAATTGTCTACATACCTACACATTTGGGAACAGCGTAGTTTGAAGTATTCTGTCTGCTTCCAAAACAAATATCCCTTGAACGATAATTTGGTGCCTGTCTGCCTGGTCGAAGCCATGTCCAGATAATGCGAACCGCCGCCGTCTTCTTATACGTGCATGTACACAGTAAACATTGAAATATTCAGGAATTCCTTTTCCCCTAAGTTCTGTTAGTGATACGAAGATAGCACTACAGTGTGCAGAGTCTGATGGCTCGAGGTCCTTAGAGTGTCAAGGACTCTTCCCCACCTGGCCAGGCTTACATGACCCACTGTGTAACGTCTCTGTATTTGTCACGAAAATCCCTTTCATAGAGATTAACACTGATTATTGACCCGTGAGTAAGTAATATAGAGATGCATTTCTCTCAATGACTATGGGTAAATACCTCGTTTTGATAAAAAGGGGAATTCCTCCAAACCCTCTCGCACCTTAGTTCCTAAAAGCGAGACGTCATTTCTTAGTCATTTATCCGATAGACATCGTCAGACCGTTGCCTGGTGAGTACTGTGCATGTTAAACTTTCAGTGAAATCGAGCGGTTTAATACGGTATCTGATATATATTACTGCCATAGACCACTATTTGTGTTTTATTTATCCGTATCTTAAGATAAAATCCATTCCATTCATGGGTATTATTATTATTCATTACAAAATTTATTT